TGCTAGCACACCTCGCTGAAGGGAAAAAAAATTCAAAGCTGGATTTAAGGGAGGCTTACTACCATATCAGAATTAAAGCAGGAAACGAATGGAAAACAGCATTTAACACCCCTCTTGGATGCTACCAATTCAACGTGCTCCCATTTGGGCTACAAGGGGCCCCTGCAGTGTTTATGCAATTAATAAACGAAGTGCTACATGAGCATTTGTATAAGGGAGTTTTGGTCTATTTAGATGACATTTTACTATATACCGAGACCAAAGCAGAACATGTAAAATTAGTCCAGGCTGTCCTGAACAAACTCTGCTCTGCCAAACTTTATGCTAAACTCTCTAAATGTGAATTCCACCAAGCAAAAATCAATTATTTAGGGTACCTCATTTCACACTAGGGCATAGAAGTGGATCCTTTAAAAGTGCAGGTGGTACTTGATTGGGAATCACCCAGAACAGGTAAAAAAGTTACAAAGCTTCCTGGGATTCGCCAACTTTTATTGCCACTTTTGCCCAGATTGTTCTCCCCATCACCAAGCTTTTAAAAATAAAGGGGCAGGGTAACTCAAAACTGAAGCAGCCTTTGAACTGGACAATGGAATGCCAAGTTCATTTGAAAAACTTAAAACGATTGTTTTCAGCAGAGCCAATTCTAAAGCACCCGGACACAGAGAAACCATTCATCATACAAGCAGATGCCAGCAATTTGGCAATAGGAACGGTCCTGCTTCAGAAAAATGAGCAGGACCAATTACAACCATGTGCTTACACATCCAAAAAATTGAATGAATCTGAGCAATTTGGGAGAAAGAAGTTTATGCAGTTCGGTGGGCACTTTTAACATGGAGGCATTTTCTAGAGGGGAGTAAGATCCCTTTTGAAGTCTGGATGGATCATAAAAATTTAGAAGCCTTAAAGACCCCAAGGAAACTCCCCCCAAAACAAGTAGGATGGGCTCAGTACTTTAAATGGTTTGAATTTACGCTCAGATATCTCTCGGGGAATTTTTTTTCCTGGCAAATGCATTATCCAGAAAACTGCAATACAATAGTACGAAACCAGACGTAATCAAACCCATGATACAAAACAATCAAATAGCCGCTAAAGTAATCACCATATCCCAGGCAAAACAAGAAACATTGATGGACAATGACACCACCCAAACTTTTAAACAAGCTTTAGCCACCGATGAATGGTTTTTGAGCCACAAATCTAGCTGCCTGATGAAAGATAACTTAGCCTGGGTGGGAGGGAAGTTGTATGTTCCTGCTAGCCAAAGACTGCACTTAATGGCAAGATGCCATGACTGCAAATTATCTAGACACTTTGGTTTTGTGAAAACTTTACACCTAATTAAAAGATAATTTTGGTGGCTTCATTAAAAAAGGACATAGAGAGCTATGTAGTTAGCTGCCCTATTTGTGCAACAGCTAAAAGACGTCAAGGGAAAATCCCAGGACTCTTACAGAAGGTAGCTGAACCTTCAGCATCCTGGAAAGAGATTGCTATGGACTTTATTGTAGAACTACCAGAAAGTGAGGGGAATAAAGTAATTTGGGTTGTAATAGGTCTGTTTACAAAACAGGCACATTTTATACCTTGCCAAACGATCCTAACTGCCAAAAGTCTAGTCAAGTTATTCCTGATACACATTTATCGTCTTCATGGAGCCCCCCAGAGAATCATCTCCGACAGAGGGGTGCAATTCACCTCAAAATTTTGGAGGGCATTTTTAACTTTACTTGGCACTGCCCAAGGATTGAGCTCATCGCACTACGCCCAAACTAACGGTCAAACTGAGAAACTTAACTCAGTCTTAGAACAATATTTAATATGTTTTATTAATTTTTAACAGGATAACTGGACTGAACTTTTATCTTTTATGGAAGTGGCATTCAATAACGCTGTACACCCAAACACTGGTTTTACTCTTTTTAGAGTAGCAACAGGCCAGGATTTCAGCCCCATGCCTGAACTATCCACAGAAGAACCCACTATCCCCTCACTTAAGGAATGGATAGACACTTTATGAGACACATGGCCAGCAGTTAGATTAGCTTTAGAGCAAGCTAGAGCGGCTTTTAAAATTCAAGCTGACAAGAAAAGAGTAGACCCCAAACCTTTCCATGTTGGAGATAGAGTATACTTGTCTACAAAATTCCTGAAGTCATTGCAGTCATCAAAGAAATTAGGGCCAAATTTCATTGGACCTTTCCCTCACTAGAGTCATCAATCCAGTAACAGTAGAACTACTCCTTCCAAAAACACTCAGGCAAGTCCACCCAGTATTTCACATTAGTTTACTCAAACGAGAAGTAATCTCACCACTCAGACTACCTGCACCTACAGTATCTGTTCCTATCATGATAGAAGGTGAAAAACACTTTGAAATTAAGGAAATCCTTGGCTCTAGGATCTACAGGGGGGAAACCCAATACTTAGTTGCTTGAAAGCATCTACCTTCATACCAAAATGAATGGGTAGCTAAACACCATGTTAGGGCCCCTACCTTATTGAAAAAAAATCACCCCCAATACCCTGACAACACTTGTTAAAATACTATGATGGAATTTTTGTTTCTTTCTTTTCACAGGTGGATCTCTCCTTTTTCTAACGAAGGCAGCATGTCACATCTCTCTAAAAGTGATACTGTCATTCAATTGGGAGGGAGGCCTTGGAATCGATTTATTAGTAGTGCCTGTGACAACTGATATTTTACAACTGGTTTCCTAGCGCTGAAGTGCCTTGAGATCCTCTCACCTTTTGGGGGAATGTTTATGATGGCCATGTGGGATGTTTCACTTTAATGTCTAATGGAAGATAGCCATGGGAATGTGTTGTGGCCCAGCAGGAGCTGTTGGAGCTGTAAACAGACTTTGACAGTGAGGGGCCCTATGAGTCGGCTCTGGAAGATGTGAAGGACCCTGGACAGGGTTCCAACTCCGAGCAGGGACCAGAGGGGCTGGTTGGCCACCAGGAGGAGCCTGAGGCATGGAGCAGCGGTGAAAGCCAAGGGGAGTTGCCCAGGACGTCAGGCCTTGGAGCAGTGGGGAGGAGACAAGGGAGTTGGTCCTAGACGCCAGGCAACAGCGGGCTGATGGATGCAGAGAACAACTACACAGATACAGAAGATAATTGGACCCAGGTGGTTGTAATTAGGCTCCTCTCAAGAG